TTTAGAAACAAACTGTAAATGAGGAATGCACTGTTGTGGTCCCTTCACAGTATGAACATGTTAAATGTTCATAGCTCAAGAGATCCATGATCTAAGCGGTACACATAGCTACCATAGTCTGGGTTTAGATTCCCTTTTTGTCTTGTTAATATCAGTTCATGTAAATAGGTAAAAATAATTTATATTTTGACTTAACTAAGAGATAAAAGGAGGGGGGCCTGGGTGGCTCAGTCAGTTGGGCATCTGACTTGTGGTTTCAGCTCAGGTTGTGATCTCATGGGTCCTGAGCTTGAGCCCCAAGATGGAGCCCCACCTCATCAGGCTCTACGCTCAGTGGGGAGTCTGGTTGGGATTCTCTCCCTCTTCCTCTGCCCCTCCCCCGACTCGAGTGCGCTCTCTCTCTAAAAAATAAATCTTTAAGAAAAAGAAAGATAAACAGAAAAATATTCATGGATTAAAATGAACTCTTAAAGATATTGTTATATTGCTTTATATTTTTAGTGAGAATAAATTATTTAATAATCTTTAGTCCAACTTTTCCTTTTTGTAACATAAAAATATTGAAAGCAGTGTTAATTGTGCATATTTTTAGTCAAAATAATTTAATTTCTTGGTATAATTAACAAGGTGCATACAACTGATTCTTGGAACAAGTATTAAATTGACATATGTTATAGAGTATCTACTTTAAAAGACATTGTGCAAATATTATGGAAATATGAAAAAGATAATTGAAATCTCTGCCTTTGTGGACTGTGCTTTCATATTGTAGATGTCTTTGAGATGAAAATGCTCCTTGATATACTGCACTTTTTATGTATTAGGGGGATGGATTAAGTAAATTATATGGATCCCATCCAGTTTATTAACTTTATTAATTATGTGAATTAACCACTGGGACAGTAGAAATATCATTTATTAACTTATTTGTGTACCATTTGATACTTTTGGAAAACTGATACATTTATATCTACTAAATGCAACTGAAATGGACATTGTCAATTTCAACCTTAGACTAAACTGAATGTGACCCATTCTTTAAGAAGAACCTTCCAATCTTCCTAAATATTTACTAATCTAAGGAGCATAGATATCACTCAATATAAAGAAAAAGACCTTTAGAATGACATTAAAAGGTATTGCTCTCATGAATTAAGACACTTGTTTGATATTGATATTATACTGTCATTTTATGAAACTCCCCAAGGAGCTCCTCAGCAATGTTTGGAATCCATACCTATATGCAACCCCAACAGAAAATCTATAGCTTGCACAAGACAACATTTCTAATCATGTTATCCTATTACAGATGAGATTCACAGCATAGCAAATGAAAGCAAGGCACTTAGAGCTGCAAGTCTCTGCATAGGCTACCTGGTGTTCAGAACAGCCTGGCTATGACTATTTTCAGAATGTGCTTACTTAGTAAGGGGCACCTGGGTGGCTCAGTTGGTTAAGCGACTGCCTTCAGCTCAGGTCATGATCCTGGAGTCCCGGGATCGAGTCCCACATTGGGCTCCCTGCTTAGCAGGGAGTCTGCTTCTCCCTCTGACTCTTCCCCCTCTCATGTGCTCTCTCTCTCTCTCTCATTCTCTCTTTCAAATAAATAAATAAATCTTAAAAAAAAAAAAAAAGAATGAGATAGTAAGACCAGGTGACATTTGTTAGGGACGGACTCTATCCAAGACAGAGCTCAACCCAATTAAGCAAGGGTTTACCATGAAGGAAAGGGTTAAATTAAATTGTTTATTGGTGGGACCCCTGGCTGGCTCAGTTGGTAGAGCATGTGACTCTCGATCTCAGGGTCATGAGTTCAAGCCCCACGTTGGAGGTAGAGATTACTTAAAATAAATAAATAACAAATTTTAAAAATTGTGTATTTTTGCACGTGTTGAGAAACTCACCCCCTTGCTTCCTCAAAAACTTCCAAGAGTATTTAACTCATCTTTCAAATGAGAAAGAAACTCAGACTGTCCTCCTTAAGCCTTCCCTAATGCCTCAGCTTTTTGCAGGTAAAAATTCCCGGCATTTCCCCAAAGGGGACATCCGGTGGTTGTGGCTAGCTTTCTGAGGGCGCGGGAGATTACATTTTTAAAAAGGAACAGGAGGACCCGGATTATCTTTAAATGGCTTAGAGCTTCACTTTATGGGCATTCGGGAGAGAAAATGAGGGAGAAACAGAAAAATCGAGTGAGAGGAAAAGAGAAAATAAAAAGAAGGAAAGAGAAGAAGGCCCAGGTAGTCAGGTACCATTGCTTGCTTTGCAGTCCCAGTGCCGCAAGACAGAGAAGGAAGCCATGCAAGTGCTTTCCAAACCCTAAAGGCTTTATAAGCAGCACTGCTGTCCTCTCTAGCGCCTATGTCAGGCTGAGCCACTCCGGCATTCTTCCTTCAGTCTTCCTGCCCCCCACCCTTCCCTTCTCTGCAGGTTGCTGCATCTGGAGGATTTCCATGAAGGCTGGGGACAGTTAGGCATCTTGGATTTGGGTTCTGCCTTCGAGGAGCCAGAGGAGAGCTGGCAGAACCCACTGTGTATTTACACTGCAGCTGCCTCACTCGGCTAGGTCCCAGGCTGTACAGCTGCAGCATTTTTGGAAGATGCAAGACGGGCAGAAGAGTGAAGATGGTGCCTGCAGTATCTCAGAAGGCTGGAGTCCCTGAAGGATGAGGGCACAGAGGAGATGGAGAGGGGCCTGGCCAGTCCTCAAACAGGACCTTTAAGTGATATGCCAGTTCTCTCAAAAAAAAAAAAAAAAATGCAAGATTCCAAAGAAATTAACTGAGATGCAGAGAAGGCCAGGAAGGCCAGGTTAAACATTGAATAAGGTGAGTATATTGGAGGTGAGGGGCAATAGAAAAGAGATAAGAAAGCGAGCTTACAAGAAAGGAGAAATTATATAGTGTGAAAAGGAATCCTTGGGACTCTCCTGAAAGAGGTGCTGGGGACCAGACAGTTGTTTATTTGAAGACTTTAGCAATGTCACTGAGGATGCTAAAAGTGTAGGGAGAAGGAAACATTTCCACTCCACATTACTCTGTAATTGTTTATTTCATAGACTAGAAGTTAATTGACTTTTCCCTAGCTCTGTGGTTCTGGGCCTCAGTTTCCTCATCTGTAAAACAAGGGGTTTAGACTAGATGCTTTTGAAGGTCTCTGCCTGGTGTGACTCTGTCAGCCTATGAGCCAGGGTATCTGACACTAAACATCTCTGAGATTTAGTACCAGATTCCACTGCACTACCCATTTATCAATGCAGTGTAACAACATCTGCACCAGTCATGAAGCAGATTCCAACTCTCAGTGATGACGGGGAGTATGGCTCAATTATGACAAAAGATTGATCCTTCTGACCTAAGTAAGGAAGGGAGGAACAGTGATTTACACTTTGGGTTTCCAAGGGGAGAATATTCTCGAATTTTTTATTTCAAATTTTATCCATTGTAAATTATAAATTCCTTTGAGAGGTTCAAAATAGTTGGACTGACTAAAGGGCCAAGGGGCTATACAATTAACTGCCTTATTTGAAGGAAAATTTATATCATTACAGAAATCGAATCTGCTTTTTCCGTGGAAATCCAGCTCACACTGGCCATGCTCTTCTCTTGTCTGCCTGCCTCATGCCATTCTGTCAACTGCTTCAGTGCAGCATTTTCTGGAGTTATTAAACACCAAAGCTTAATGAGAGTGCACTTAATGGGTGAAGTATTCAATGATGCAGGACCCCCCCCCCCCGGCACACACACACGTAATCAGTTTAAATGATAGTGGGGATAAAATACGTTTTCATAAGAGTTTCATTTTTAATTTGTCTCAACATGAAATTCCTTTAATTTTTTTAAAAATTAATATGTAGAAATACAACTCCTTCCTCTTGTCTTCAAGTGGGATGTGACACACAGATAGTATCCACTTGTGTTTTCTACACCCACTAACATTTCCATTTCATTTTAGTCTCCAAAATATGGGCAGGAGCACAACTCTAGAAAAATGGATTCCCACTCTCTCATCTCACAGGGCACTGATCCGTGCAGTGCTGAGCACTTGCACGGAGCCTCACCATTTCCTCCAACCCCCACCCCCATTCACCAGTGCCCCTGCTTTCCACAGGGGGTTTGACCTTGCAAAGACCCTGCTTCATTTTCTGGGCAAGTTACAACCCATTTTAACTCAAAATACAAAACGACCTTTTCTCCTTTAAAGAAACACTACCAAATGTAACCCATCTGGGCTTACATTTCTCAGCCCTGTATTCCAGACTGAACACGGGATGCAAAGGCAGGTAACTAGTTTGGGTCTGACAGTTCCCATTCAGAGGCTCTGAGACTCAGACTCTGTTCAAAACGGCTGACTATGTGGTTGAACATCTTTCCTTTTTTGCCCATTCACCATCATGACGAAAAATCAAAACTGAAAAATTATCTACTCATTTCTAAATACTAAGAAATGTTCTTCTTTTGCCTCTCGCTCCATGGTTCTAAACACTAATATCCCGCTTGGAAACCAGCACTGATATCCACACCGCATCTCGTCTACTCAGTTTCACTTAGCAAACACCTTCACTGCTTTTCCACGGTGAGAAAAATGGTGCACCAACCCCCCGGATGACAGGTTGGTACTTGACTGCAACCGCTCAATAGTTTTATCAGCAACCGGAAAACTTCACAATCGGTCAATTTGCTACTTAAATCCGTGTAAGGAAATCTCCTTATTTATAGGCTTACACTAAAAAACCACCTCTGTTTCACCTATCTTAAATCTAGCCTAAGACAATCCCCCAAACACGCCTCATATAAACACTCCCTCTTCCCCCACCCCCATTATCCCAAAAGATCCCCTCACTGACTAACAACACATTCAGATGGCCAGCATTAACCAAAGCAATTGCCACCATGCATTTAGACGCATCTATGCAAAGTATTGACAATAGCCAAAGCATCTCTCAGACAACTGGCTGTACTACACATGCAGAAAAGCAACGAAGATTGCATTTTCCACTTACAGTTATAGCGCTGCGCACGGTCACTTAATGAAAATGATAAAACTCAACAGTTCTTTATATATATATATAATTCAGATAAACGGTTAAGCCGTCTCTGTGTGTGGTTCTCTCGCGCTCTTTTTTTTTTTCCTCTGGAGCTCTAGGCTGCTTAAATCCCTCTTGGATCGCGCCTCGCAAGCCCAGCCGCCGCCGCAACAAGCTCGGGTAAGTCTATGCTGCAGATTGGGAATCCCATAGAAAACCTAAGGTCCCTGGAGCTGGGTGCGCAGGCGCGCGAGCCACCGCCTCTCGAGGCACCCCCTCCCCTTCCCCTCCTCCCTCCTGCTCCAGCTCCGCAGCCCGAGCTTGGAGAGCTCAGGAGCCGGTGACCAAAAGCAGCCTGGCATTGGCGCATGCTCAGTTGGAGGGGCTCGGAGTTCCCGCGGGTGGATTCCATGTCTCCAGATTTTAGCAGAAACTCAAAAGGAAAGTACATAGGAAAAGGGAGCCTGGCTACCGGAGCTGCCTGCACCTGGACAGGCGGTAGCGAGAGCAAGTTGGGCTCACCACATTCCGCCGTTATGGAGTCTGATGATGAAGGCGAAGGCCAGATATGGGACACTTGGAACCTTCTATTCCCACGGTTCCGAGCCCCAGAGGGCCCTCGGCCCACCTTTTGTCTGGCTGTAATTACGGTGACGGAGAAAATCGCAGAAATCCTTTTTCTCGAGAGGAAGTGTATCCCCAGCTAGCTATGAGCATATCTGTCCGGCTTACTGTGAAGGAATGGTGGGCACTTTTCGTGGGCCATTTCATCCGAGGGTCTTAACCTGGGAGTACTGGGAGCCGGTCCTTCTCATACCCCAGTGCCCAGGACCGTCCTTCCAGAGCGGCTAGAGAAATGTAGGTTGAAGGAAGCTGGGTCCGAGGCTTGTCCTGTGTGACCTTGGGCAAATCATGCTAACCATCAACTAACATTTAACAAGCGCCTGCAGTATGCAGTTAATAAATATTTATTGAATATGTTCGGTGGGAGGGATGGATGGGAGGGAACAAACCATCCTTGGAATACAGGGTAGAGGGCTTGGACTAAGTGATATTATAAAGCCCACTTTTGTGTCCATTAAGGACGCCTGCGTGTGCTAGCCCTCCCCCTCTCCCCACTGTCCTGCCAAAGCCTAGAAGACTTGGCAAGGAGTAGTGCCCAGTAAATGTTTGGTCGCTTCCCTACCAGGAAAGCAAGAATTCCCAGATGTTCCCAACCCGATCAGGTTCCTCAAGTGTGTATGTTTGCACATTCATTCATTCATTCATTCAATAATTATGCATTACCAACTACTTACTATTAGCCACTGTTTGGGAGATAAATGCGGTGAACAAACGCCCATCCTGAGATTTACATTCAGGTGGGAGTTCTATTTTCAAGGGAGGGGAGTTCTGGGGGAAAAGTGAAGGTCTAGGTTCTCCTTAAGTAGAGACCTTTACAATTTCACACACCTTATCACGCTCAGGAAAACTGCAGTGTTAATAAACCTTTTCGTTCTGAAGACACCAAGAGCATCTCCCATGGCAGAAGGGCTCTAGACTGACAAATCTCCGTTGCCAGGAGGGAGCTACTCCTAGCTACCAAGTCGGGGAGTCCAACTTGGAAGAACTTGAGGATACTTTAACCAAGGCCAGGAGAAACTCCACCCCACCAGTCTCTGGCACTGGAAAAGGCTTGGGTTCGGTGAGTACCCCCCGTAGTGAAGCCCAAGCTGCAGCCTGACGTTCAAAGCCAACCTGGCGGGCCCAGAGCGCAGGATTGCGCTTTTCTGGGCCACACGCCTCGGGAAGGTGGCGCAGAGCAGGGGAGCGCTCTCGGGACTCCCGGGACAGAGCTCGCAGAAGTCCCCTCCCGGCGGGGCTCTTCCGCGGGGTGCTGGCGACCTCGGAAACCCGGCGCGAGGAGTTGCGGGGAGCAGGGCGCGCGCCCGGGCGCGCTGCGGCAGCTGAGCACATTTAGAGTCTGGCAGGCGCCAGCTCCGCGCTCCCGGGCCGCAGTGCGCACTGCGCAGCGGGGCTGGTCGGCGGATTCTTTTTGCTTCTTGGGATGAGGTGGGGGCAAAAGTCAGTCCTGGATAAGTCTCTGGTTGGCGGTGGAGACAGCCTCCAAAGCTTTCAAAGTAATTTCTCGTTTTTTGTCGATTTCCCCTACTAAAGCGTTTTACGCTGGGCTGTCTGGTTTCTCTCTGGAGAACAGACTCCGCGTTGTAATCTGCATCAGCTGAAGGAAGGGGTCATAATGCCATTTCTCCGCGTGGAAGAGGCGTGCCTATTTATTGCGCCCTGGCGGTCTCTTTCGTGGCATTGTTCGGGTTTAGATAACTTACTTCCAACTTGTGCTTAGGAAAAAACGAACACTGATACTTTAAACCGTGTTCTGTTGTAGGGGAGATTTGATTTGGATGCATGCGCTTTTGTGAAGCAGCTTTGTCTAATTGAGCAGACAGAATGTTTAAAAAAGTTTTATTTGCACTGGAGCGTTGTTTGGCGTCCTTAATGCGGTATCTTAATTTTTAGTTGCAGCCATTATGCAACTTTATTTTCTTAAGCTCTAATGTTTTGTTGTTAAAAATTTTTTTCTGAGATGCCTTTTGGTCGAGTTTTATGTGCAGCATGAAATCACCGTAGGGAAGCAAATTCTAAAAGACACCAAAGGAATATTATCGTTTAAATTACAGAAAGCAGTTCCCCTCTTTAGGATGGCAGAATGAACTTGAAAAGAAGAATGTGGTAGACACTAAAAAATCAGGGAACCCTCTGTTTCTTTCCTTCTTTAGACATTTGCAGATGTCACTGGTAATCACCAAAGAGCAGAGGTGCTCGGTCCAGCGCTCTGAGCCCTGGAGTCGAGTGACAGGAATACCGCACCCTGCTGAGTGCAGAATGCCATTGAGCTGTAGCAGTAGTTCCTTTAAGTAAAGCCGCGTCCCCAGCACTGTGGATGGATAGCGGTGTCAGCTTTCATACTCTGGAGGTTTGGGGGTGGGGGCGGGGAGGAGAGGAAGGTGCAGTAGTGAGGAGTTTTGGGGTGTTTGTTTGTTTGTTTTGGAGTACCTAGGAGCGAACTATAGAAATGATCCCTAGTAGAATTCTCACTGGCCCAGAAACTGCTGAGGAGCCATTTTCCTTTCCTCACAAATTGTTTTCCCAGTTAGGCTTACTTCACCTCACTCTTTCCCAGATTCAAACAAACAAAATAAACCAAGAACGACCTTTTAGGTGTACACAACTTCATTTAATATTGGCATCCACTTTAATCGAAACATAGACAAGTTGAACACGGAGAATGATCGTACAAAACGTGAGGAGGTAACAGGTCTGAGCTTGTGGTCCTCTGAGCTCATGGTAATATTATTTATTAGACATGCTGTGTATAAAATATATGAGCCAAGAAGGGCGGAACTTAAGGCATGGGGACATTTAGGAAATTGGAAGGAAAATTAAGTGTTTGAAAGTCAACGTTAGAAAATGAAAAGAGACAGGAATTGGAAAAGTGGATTTAAATTCATTTAAATCCATGCAGAATAATGATAGTAATTTTCTTGTATAGGTAAAGTGTCTTTGTTTCAGAAAGCTATGGATTGATCCTTACAGAAATGCATTACATAAGATAATTATGTTTATCCTGTTTTATTTATCCTATTTTTAAAAATATACGGATAGACCAATGAAATAAAATAACTTTCTGAGGTCAACAGTAAGTTATTACCTAGAATAAAACTATACAATAACTTTTCTAACAGAAAGTGTTTCATTCTATATGTTTGTATTCCTTCTACATGTTTTTCTAAAATAAGTGGAAAAATGCAAGACCACAAGGGAGTGATTCCCATGCAGTTAGGGAGTGAGTTCCATGTCTCTATGCAGAAGAGGGATTGACAGTTCTTATGTTAATGAACTCCATTGATGATTTCTCCCAGTGGGCCCCAGATTTAGCTCTAATCCATGACTGAATCTAAATTCATTTTGAAAGATTATTCTTAGCTGTGTCACCAATTTCCCTTAAAAATTGAACAATCCACAATAAAAGTTCCTTAAATCCCTGCTGAATGAATTATTGTCAAAGCTTTGAGTTTCCTAGAAGTTTCTTGGAGTCTTAGAAATGGTCATGGCAAATGCAGGTGCTCTGAAGCCTAAAGAATAAAAGGTGCTTTATTCCATTCTGTCTTCCACATTTGGGCCTAACCTATAGATTCCCAGCAGGGCTTTTAAGTTGGAAATTTTCACTGTTACCATTGTGTGTTTTCACCTCACAAAAGAAAGGATGATAGCAGAATTGCGGTAAATATGGTTTCTATTTTTTTCTTCAGTGACTTTTCAGCTAGCCCGGTACAGTAGGCTGTATTCCTTTTTAGTTGTGTGAATAGCCACTGCAAATATAATCATGGATTCATATTCGGATCTTCTGTACTTTGAAAACCACCTGATGCCAAGGATCTTCAAAGCCCTTCTTTCTTAAAACAGATCTTACTAACTTGTTTCTACCTTCAGTCTTTATTTTCCTTAATATAGTTCCTTTTAATGATACTCTTAAACTCAACAGAGAATGTTAGCATAAAATATAAAGGAAAAATAAAAATAATGAATCCTTCACTCCTTCTGAGACTACCAACAAAAACTCCTTTACCAAATGATTTTCACAGTTGGGTTTACATTTTCACCTATTGCTTGAAGGAGGAAAGGACTCCCTCATTTTTTATTGTTCTTATCATATTCCCCCTTTAAAGTTCATTGGCTATCCTAAGGAGGTTCAGGAAGAGAGAATGATCATTGGTGATTCTTGTTTTTATTCCAGAAGGTAGGTTTAGTACCTGTACTACAATCCAAAGAGAGTGGATTGTATTGAATTTTATAAGAAGAAAAAAAAATGCTTGAGTAACTAATGGTGGTGTTTAGTAGTGGCTGCAGGTTGAATTCCTTTTGATCTCTTTCATTCATTTATCAGACACCTATTAAGTACCTACTTGTGTCAGGCAGTGTCCTGAGCACTTTATATGCAATATTCCATTTCACAACGACTTTATTTATGTACAGGTACTACTATAACCCATTTTATAGATGAGGAGGGAGCTGAGGCAACATATGTATTAGTAATATCTCCAGATGCCTTCTTCAGTTAGCTGTTTCTCTTTCTTCACCCCATTCCAATTAAAGTTATGATTCTCCCTCTATAAATTAC